ACCATGCTCGCAGTGGCCACCGAAGAACCAGGTGTTTGGAATCTCTTTCATGAGATAGAGGACTTTGTGGATCCTGTCCTTCCCATCTCCGAGCCTTCGACCCCTCTGTTGCCAGAGACCATGATCGCAGAGGCCATCGAAGACCCAGCTGTTTGGAATCTCATCAATGATAGAGGAGTCTGTGGATCCCGATCTTCCTCTGTGCGAGTCTTTCACAGATGCCGCTGAAGACCCTGATTTTTGCCGCTTTCCAATCAGGACCCTTTTTATAAGTTCTTGGCTAAATAATTCTTAGGGAGCGCTTTACACCAACGATCCCCCTCTGAATTAGAATCTCTCTCCTGCCCTCATCGACCATAAAATGTAGAGTTGATCACTTCTTTACTACTATCCACTATCCTTTCGATGTTTTGCTACCTGCTGTCACCAATTCATGTATAACACCATACATTCTTTCATACTCTGTGGCACAGCGCACTACCTCTTCATTCTCACTATTACTATTACTGTTGTTGTTATCATTATGGTAAAATATACACATTACTTTGATCTTGTATATACGCACTGGAAGATGTCCCCTACGCTCCCCCTTGCACAAATGCACAAAGAACATACTGCTACTGGTACTCGGAATATCAAATGAATTGCAAAAGACCCTACAGTGGACAATATCATGTGAGGGAATGCGAAACAACAGTATGATAATATGGAAGGTAATCCTACAGTCGACAGGTGCTACACGGAGACCGAGATGAAAGAGGATAAAAATCAACAACTTGAAAACCCATACCAGATGAAAGCAATACGGCAGGAACTACACACCAACATGAATGAAAACCATCCCTGCTCGAGCGGCACTTTCCTTCTCACGGCGTGAGATTGGTGCTTTAATTTCAGGTCTTGCTGGAGAACGTTGACGATGGGTAGCATGATCTCGTCCCAAATTGTCCGCAAGAGTACTATTAAATCCGTCCTCGACTCTGCTGGGTTCATCCAAGATGCCTGTCGTATTGCCCTAGTGAAGCGATCCTTAAGATCCTTCAGATCTGTAAGAGTGACAGACGGCAAGGGAACATGATGTCTCCTGACGTCGGGACGATGTTGGCGCTGCACGAGCATTGACTGGCAATGAGGATGATGACTGGGCCATGACGCGCTGCCGCTTGCAAGTCTTCATATGAAGGTGGCAGCAGGAACCGCGAGAAACCTCGAAGATTACGGATTTCAGCTACCATTACTCTCCTCGATCTGTGCTGAGCGTGGAACCTTGAGCCTCGGACAGACACTTGCTGAGCTCCGAGAACATGTGAGCTAGGTTGGGATTTGTGGACTCGAGGTCTTCAAGTGGACTCCTCAGGCGAGAGGCCAACGACCACTGTTGGCCACGGCCCTGTTCCACGAGTTCGACTGCGCGTCGTAGATTGTCATGCAAGATGGCACATGTTGCCGCATCTACAGGCAGTGATCTGGCACCACTGAATGCAGCAGCAGCTTCACGCCTTGAAATTGTCGATGATCGTGTTGCCAAGTGACGGTCAAGAAGTTCGAAAAATGTTGTGTAGGACTCCAGCACAGATAGGGGACTGTGCTGCTCTGCTGCGATAATCCAGTTCCAGGCTGTCATAATGCGCTCTGGAAAGCCTTGCGTGGGATGTTGTGATGCCACTCTGTAGTTCTCTACAGCGAGCGACAAATCAGCAGACTTGCGCCGCACTCTGTAACTTACTGCAACCACGGGTAGCTGAAATATTTGTCTGGGTGCAGTGAAGGCAAAACCTCCAACGATTCTTGGCATAGTCGAATGGCCCCCTCGACATCTTCATTTTTCTGGGTTTGAGCGAAACGAGAGCAGAGCGCCGAGCTCAATCTGTAAAGAGCTTGATGGTGAAATGGCCATGCGGCCTTAACTGAAGTGATCCCAGCACAGGTCAATGGCCTCGCTGGGATCTTCGCTGACATTCAATTTGTTATATCTAGTATTGAGCGCGAGGGCAAGGTTTTGAGTGTGTAATCACAATATAGATTCCCAGGCGGGCGCAACATCAGTGCCTCGTGATGGAGGCTGAAGTGCTGATGGCTCCGTTGATATCATTAACATCACCGCGTTTGTTGAAACGGGTGAAGAGGGCGACTCCTAGGTTGTCCAATGAGAAGTCACAAGATTCGTGTCCAACAGGGCACAGGCGCAGCGCTTCTTTGTACAGAGAGATGGCCTCGTTGAGATCATGATATTTGTCTTGGCAATTGAAGCAGGTCCAGAGTGACAAGGCTGTTATTCAGGTACAAATCGCGTTCAGAATGTCCCTCAGAGCATAGAGAAATGGCTTTACAACCACATTGTATACACTCTTCTAGATTACCAATACTGCTGCGTTGTTCAAAACGTGAACCGAGGGCCCATGCAAGATTATCTAGTGCTTTTGGACAGTGCTCATTGCCCAGAGGACAGAGCTTGAGTACGACTCGTCGAAGGTGGATGTCTTCATCAGATGCGTCTATTGGAAGATTGTTGCATTCGCAGATTACAAAATCAATGCCATCTGCCCCCGCCGCAATGCTACGAAGGTAGGTGCCCTCTGGACAGAGGGGCAGTAGCTTGCAGGACAGTTGCGCGGATTCATGGATATAGACGGCGGTGAAGTTCTCCTGTTTGTAGCGCAAGATCAACGCGTCAATGAGATGATAGATGGATAATGCGTGATTGGGATGGCCCTGCGGACGCAATGCAAGGGCTCCACGGAAGAGAGAAGTTATACAGTCGATGGCTTGAAGATCCTTTTGAATGTAGCATCGAAGGCGGGCCCACGCAAGGTCGGTGAGAGCCCCTGCGTGGTCAGGATGGCCGATCGGACATTGGTCCAGGACCAACTGAAAATGCTGTACGGCATCATTCAGGTGTGAGACCGTCTTGCTTGTCACATATGTGGCAAATCGTTCATGGCCCGCATCCGTGTCTCGAGCAATCTCACTTTCAACGATGGACTACACCAGGTGTTCCGTCAAGAAATGCCAACAACACAGAGGCTGATGTCACTCACGTTAAGTAGTGCGCCGTCCTGATTGTCGCAAGAAAGTAGAACGGTGGCCTTCATGTGAGGGAAGGGTGAACACCATAAACGGGCGGGAACGAGATGTCTGCAACATGTGAGTATATACGCATGAATGAGAAGCATGTTGCTCACCGAAAGGCTCATCTCCACGGTCGAGCAGTACATCCCATGACGTCTCAAGTTTCCAACGACCTCTCCACTGCCCAATATCCGATCGAACTCGAAGGATGCCCTGATCTCCGCCGATAGTTCGGGTGATATGTCTATAATCTACAAGCGGAAGATCAGTCATCGTCGCATCCGAAAATCGCCATGCACTGTACAGGGTCACGGCATCGCCCCACGCTACTGATTCGTCGGATGATAGAACTCTGGTGGCTGATTTCCAGCGTCTCCTCGAGTCAACATTGATGGATATGTAAATGCCGGCGGAAATGCGCTTGGAGGAACTTGAAGATTTTTTCCACCGATAACTGTGGATAGGCTAGTGAGGATACGAAACAGATACGAAAGTGATGGAGCGACTCACCTTCGAGATTGATATATCGGCCTCTGAGCTACCGAGCATGATGCTGTGTTAAGGAAAACGACAAGAATCGAGGATGGACTGGGACAGAATAAGTGGTACGAGAAGACGTGAGTGGGGAAATGGGGGGCTGTGCATGAAGTTGAGGTGAGAGGGTTCAGGTGATGCCGCACGTGTACTTCCATGTTGTTCTATGGCAGTTCGGCATTAGCACGATAGACTCGTATGATTGCACTAAGCGCTGAGGCTAAAAGATCGCCAGCTAGCAGCAAAATGCCATGGATCAGCGAAAGTGGCATCCCAAGGACACTGTGCAAGTCTCAGAACGTCCTGTTGTAGGCTCTACTCTCATAGTGGTTGTCTGAGACGTAGTATGATCATCACCACATTGCACAAGGCTGAGGTAAATTGTAGAATTCAGTGTATTTCATGGTGCAAACATACAAACCACTAAAAACGACGGGGGAAGGTGAAATTGACGCTATGCGCACTGAAAAGCTGATCCGTTCTATACAGTCCATGCCAAGGGGGAAGGACCGAACTAGCTAGAAACAAAGACAACAGTTGCATGGCAGTCGAATGCAAGAACTACACGATGGGACTTGCCACACTCAAGCTCGGTCCTTGAGATGGACGTAGATATATTGACTCTCATTAGCATAGGAAATAAAAACGGAACCTCAACGAACCTGTATACGGCTGTGCAGGTATTCCCCAGAGTTCCCCAGGTTGTGGCAACATCAATGAAGCGAAGGAAACACAGCCGCTTATTATGTAATTATTCTTGAAGCTTGAAGCGGGTTCTCATATTCTGAAATGACATGCTCAGTGTGCTGCAATTTCAGAGGAACTTGGAAGGATCCAGGCTACCAGCCACGTTCTGGATTCAGCTAATGCGGCAATTTTAGTCGCACTGGCGTTGAAGAAGAGAAGTCCTCGTGGAGTTCACGGCTTCATGGTCAATTTCGGTGAATAGTGGGTCTAGGGTCACCAGTCTACGGTGACCAGATGCACAAAGTGCGTTTTTCTTTTTTAGCCAGTCCACCTCGTTCATGTACGCAACACAGTAATCTCGACCAAGTGTGCGAGAGGCTCTATGGTGAACGTATGGTTGACCCTTACCCGGTTTCGATGTCCTGCAAGTAAACTGGAAACTCGGAATAACAAGTTGACTGCCATACACTCAACAGCCTGAGAGAATGTGTAGAAAGACACACCAGTTTCTTCTCTTTATCTCCACATCACCCCAATAAGCACCCCCCCATTCCCGTCTCACTCTGTTACTTCTGCTCGAGGGGACCATCGCGCGATTAATTAATATTCCTCTGCGAACCTAGTATGGTCCCGAGGCAGACGGAGGTAAGTGGGGATTCCTTTGTATATTATGGCGAGGGCCAGATAACCCGTGTTTGATCCCGACTTCGTTTGACCTACATTGCCATTAGGTTGCTCCTGGTTAATCATCACGCAACCACTAGCAATACTCGCTAGGCTGTCGATGAAAGTTGCCGTCGTAGGGTCTGGCGTTTCTAGCTTAGCTACGACATGGGTACGTTCATGGTATGACAATTGCTGCAATGTAACGATCGCTAACCTGGTGCCCATAGAATTTATTCCAGGTTCTAAACGAACATAGTTAGTATCTGTACGAAGTCGAAGGTCGTGCGGGGAGGACACACGAATACGATTGTATATATACATCCAAGTAAATCAGACGGGTACGCAGTTGATGTGGACACGTAAGCGCCCTTTTCGCTCTAGTTGTCTGGATTCCAATTAATCCGTTGATACCAGAGGATTCGTACTTCCTGGTCTTTTTCACTTTCTCGCATCTCGCACCGTATGATTAATCATCTACGTAACGTGGAGATTATCTTCTAACCCGACCACATATCCCGATTTCTCCTAGCGCATATTCGCGATTCGCGTTCTTCAAACTGAGTTGACGTTCAGGGTCTGCAGAGACTCGGACATTTTTGAATGTGCTGCAAAAGTTTGGCAACCTTGTTCTGCCAGTCATCACGTCTTCTAGATCCCGACATGTGGCGATTAATCTATGATGTGCTCGGGTTCAGTGCCTGTGCACGACGCCTCGTCTCTAACAAGGCCTCTTCCGACGATCCAGACTTGTCTGTACCTTGACCAAGAAGGATACTTTGCATCTTTCCAGAACAATTTTTGATTGTATCGCGTATTTATTTAACGAGAATGAGAACTATCATTGACAGTTTCTGCAGCTTATGACAACTACAATATGTAGTACACCGCCTGAGAAGTGCCTTATAAACATCCCTGCTCGGACTTTGGTAATTTCGTTGTATATTAGGTCGAATTGACAGTCATTGTTTACAGGTACGATTCATGAGTAATCATCACCTTTCACAGATTACGGGTAAGCCGTCGTGCCTTACTATTGAAGGTGGTGGGTAATGCAATTTTATAATAGGGGCTATTGAGTCTGACTGCATTCCCTATTCGCAACTACTTGATGCGATATTGTCAAAACTTCCTCAGGAAAAGTTACACTTGTCCTCTCCTGTCACAACGATATGCAGAACAACCCAAGGCGAAGGCCGTCACGACCGTCCTGCTGAAGACGCATAACCCAGATGCTATCACAGTGTACGACTGGGTTATTCTAGCATGTCATTCGGACGCACGACAATTCTGGAAGGCGGACGCGATCTGTGCTGACGGAGAAGACGTCCTCAAAAGTTTTGAATGGAATATGAATGTTGTAGTGCTGCACAGTGACATTAACGTACGTGTTCTTGCACTTTCACGTCACGTCTCACCACTCCAGTTGATGCCAAAGCCAGGAATGCTTGGTCTTGTTGAAACTACCTCACATTCTCCAGCTCGAACGACAAGGGTAAACACAAAGCTAACATAAACAAAGTCGCGCTGTAATTTTTTACCCTTATCGTTCAAATTTGTTTTCCGTTCTAAAATCTGCATTACAGCGCATGTAAGCTGATGGAATTCCGCACCGTCATCTTCAACGGTACTAATGAACGGCATCTTTGAGACTAGTTGCAGCATCTGCCAAAGGATCTTCACGGCCCGGTGCTGGCCACCCTAAACCCACCAACCGATTCAAACGTCACTAAACCTGCTGCGCGATTCGCCTACGAGCGCCCCCATCCTCAACAGCAAGGTGCGTTTCGTTACGTCTTGATGCCCATTACCCCATTCATCAACATACGCGCATCCCCCTGTTTTCAAGCGATCATCGCTCGGAAGGCAATGACGAACATTCAGGGCCGTGGCGGTGTCTTGTTCGCGGGAGCGTGGCTTGGGTATGGATTTCACGAGGACGGGTTTACGTCCGATCTGCGCGCCGTTGTAGAGCCTATCGATGGCGTTTAGCTTTCATTTGATGGAGCTGGTGCTGATCGCGAACCTTGCGTACCTTTGTTTGCTCCGCTCTTTGGCAGCTTGGAAATTACTGGTATATGTGCTGTAGTTGGCACAGCTTTAACATTGGCGCTCCTCATCGTGCAGTCATGACAAAAGCTCTTTCATATACAATAGTAGTTTAGAGACGCGTATATCTATACATGTTCAAGCCATTAATGCTACATTGACGACAAGTTATGAGAATGCGATGTGATGCGAAAGCGATATCCAAGTGATTTCGACGAGGTGACCCAGACAATTTAAAAAACGCACAACGAGATATATACGATATATTAATCTTCAGACGCACGTCTTATTTGAGTGAGGCCGAATGTGACTTTCCCTCTCGACTCCGAGCCATCGGCGGTAGACGGTTCGCTAGAACTGCCCTGGGGCGTCTGTTCAAGTGTCATCCTAGGAGTCGTGGCACCACTCCGAGGCTCTTCGTCGACGAACCGGACCGACCGAGTAGGCGAGACATCACGGGAGTTATGTTCGCTTGTCTTCAGAGACTCCAACCGTCGGTGCTGGATGGAGCGACGGCAAGTGTGCCCTGATCCCTGACGTTGAGGTGTGTGGCTTCTCCCACGTTGGTCTTCATCTTCAAACGGTACGATCTCACTTGGCTCACTCGTAAAGACGGACGGTGGGTCCTGCTCCAGAAGCTGCCTAGCATGGCTCGAGAACGTTCCGCCATCTCCCGTTGATTGTCTTCGTCGATGACTCCTTGCACTTCTGGCAGCTGCAGAATGGGTTCCGCTCTTCGTTTTCCATGATTTTGGACGCTTCTTGTGATCGCCAGGCAGCTCCCCCAACGGGTACGTAGACCCGTCGCCATCTCCGCTTTTGTCTGACGACCATCCTTCTTCGTCTTCATCACCTTCAGCACATGCGCCCGTGTTTTCATCACTTGATCCACCGATTTGAAAAACTTCTTGGACTTTTGATTCTAATGCATGTATATCATGCTTGACATTTTCTTCGACGTGTTCAACTTCCCGATGTATATCTTCAGGCGCATGATGTAACTTGCGAAGATACGCGCGACCTGCTTGTAAGGCGCCACTTTCTCCTACAGAAAACCGGGAGTGCACGACCCGTTCCGAAGGCTTGAATGCGTTATAAATGACTTCCACATCGACCTGTAGACGACGTCAGCATCACCATTAGTACTGTCAATCAACCCACGCACCTCCTCACCAGGACCACCTCGTCGCTCGATAATTTTATGCGGGCCTTCCTTCCACTCCGCCGCCGTCTCCTTTCCATCAGGTGGTGTCTCCTCCTTCATCTCTTCCTCATCCTTTGCCAGCGCAGCTTCCGCACGCGTCTCCGCACTGCTCACCTCGCCGACCTGTTCTGTCTCGTCGGGCGACAGCGGCGACGCAGTGATCGTGCTTGCGCGCTTGCTCTCCAGTGCAGACTTCTCTTCTTCCGTCAGTCCGCCCTCGCCACGCTCGAGTCCAGTAGGATCACGGTTAATGATGACGTCTTCCGCACGTGTAACGTGTCGTGTATGCGTTGCCCAGTCGGGCACGTTGGATGAGGCATGGCGGGACCACGTACGAGACCCAACTGAATGCACGCGACGGCCTAGGAGTGAGAATGGGATGGACAGACCGTGAATAGCGACACTGCAGAGTACCATGAATGCAACGATGGGTTGAATGGCAAGTGCCAGAAATTCAGTCTGGTTAGTTGGAGGGTTGCTAGGTTTTGGTAGCCGCTGGGCTGCTAGTGTGGAAATATATATAGCACCTGGAATGGTAACACACGTCATATCAGTATGTTGCAAGGATCATGTTAGATATACCACGCACCAATGCCTATGGGCCCGAAATGGCCACTGAAAACGGCTTCCCGGAAAGTCTTTACGTCGGGTATGAACTTGTAGAGCGCAATCATGACCGGCAACCTTTTTAACATCAACACTAAAATGGCAATAACGATGAGCCTCCACACGCTAAGTGAGAGGGTTTCGTTATTGAAACTGTCGAACGGCATCCAGGCGCCGACATAAACGAAGGCAGCGACATTGAATAACAAGTCGATAACGGAACTGAACACTGATTCCTCTGTCTGGCGATTGAAGAAACCGTCCCAAGCAAATGCCGTTCCGCAACAGAATGCTGCCAGGAGATCATCAGAACCTAGGATAGTCATGATGCCGATGGTGAGCAAAGCCAGGGATATGTACTGTGCAACGTAGGACTGGCGATCGACGAAGTCATTGCGCTGGCAGAATTTCATGAGGTGCCGGAAACCCCATCCTATTAAGGCGCCAACGACCACACCTAGGATGACCTGATCTGTTATAACGGAATCAGGTGAAGAACTGTCACTGTATTTTTTATCTCACAGAGCCAGAGTAGAAGGAACCAATCTTCAACTGCACGACTGGTAGTGGAGTCCAATATGAGATACAATGCGATGTACAGGAAGGGATAGGCTGCTCCATCGTTGCAACCGCTTTCCGCTGCGAGAAGATGGCGAAGATGAGCGGGGACGTGCTTGTCGGCATATTTGCCACCGACAACTGCAGCAGCAAGGATCGGATCAGTTGGGGTCAAGCATGCAGCGACAGCAAGGCTTGACAAGAATGTGAGGTCAGGTATGAGAGCATAGATCAAGCCTGCCGACACAAACCAACCCTGGTGATGGTTAGAGAATGGGTGAAAGACATGTTCAAGATGTTACCCACCCATGTCATGACAGGAAATAGAAGGTATAATAAACTTTTCCAGTGACGCTTCATATAAGCTTTTGGAAGCTCGACGCCGATTGCGAAGACTCCAATTGCAAGGACAACACGAGTGAACTCTAGTGTGATTTGATTCACGGTATCCTCAGAATTGCCACTGCCCCAGCTACGAGGATCAAATATGCCGGCACCATAAGGACCTAAAAATAAAAAAGTTAAGGCAACGTGATTAGAAGGGTTTGATCCGCTGAGCTCACCGATGATGACGCCGAAGAGAAAAGCCCAGCATGCCTCGCCGATGTAAAGCTATATATAATGAGTATGGGGGTTGATATGATCAGAAATAGTATTACCTTTTCTCGAATGAACAAAGAGAACATGCCAAACTGTAATGGATATTATAATGAGATGCTGCAAAAGTGGAGAGAGCAGGGTGCACTTACCACAACGACAAAACCTCCGAGGCATGCATAGGCGATGTGCGGTATGGTTAATGAAAGCTAAGAAGATGAATGAGCGCTGCAACAGTCGGGTGCGGGAATGGTGGCTTCGTACCGGCCGGAATAGCATATTGTGTGGTGCCGAAGAGTACTCAACCGAAAAGAAGCTGGATAACGCGTGCAGCTGGACAATGATTATGCCCACTGGAGTTCATAAAATAGGACGTGGCGGGTCGTTGGAGTGAAGATACAAGAAGATAGAGGAGTGTCTACGTAGTACGGCAAGTCGGGGTAGTCTGACCGTAGTAGCCGAGTCTTTATTCCAGGTTATGTCAGCCAATATCTTCGCCAAGCAAGTTGAAAACCAAAGATGCGGCGGGGGACCTGGCAGGTCCATGGAAAACCATCCCATCTTTATAGTCGCAGCGCTCGGCGCGGAACCTACTGACAGTGGGCCGGAAAGATGACGGATGTTGCGAGAGAACGCATGTTCAACGTTTGACTTCCCTAATTAATTTTCGGCTCAGGTCACCCCTCGACCCTTCATCCGACGGTTCATAGACTATCCCGCCAATCAGCTTAACTCTGGGCAGTACAGATAAGCCGATAACAATCACAATTGGAGCCACGGAGCGCCAGTTTCCTGCAACACGGGACTACTCTTATATGTCTACTTATGTATGTGGCTAAAAAATTTTGAATTGAAGATCCAGGAATGGAAATTCACCTCCACCCCCGCCGCTTAAAGGCGGTACCTACGTATAATTTGAGTAACATCGTTGCACGGTTCGTCAGCCATGACTTCACAGGTGGAGTCTCCTGTCAACGGCTATCGTGTTCGGACTCTCCAGAGGCATTATCGACTTGCATGCCTACACCCCCCGCCACCGTAGGATGCCACAAATTCACCTATGATTGGCAGGTTAGACATTCAAGATCTGCAGCTGACAAGTTTCAAGTTGAACCTATCCTCGATCGTATATATTTCGGTCTTTCGGAGGTCCCAGGTCCCTACACAGTACACCCTTATTGCCAAGCACTCAGCAAGCAAGCTCGTGACCTGCTCTATTCCCTGACTCAGGGACTATCTTACTCACTTAGTACCCTGACATCCACTTATCCGCACTTAGTTAAATTTTCCGCCTCCTCGTTACGAAGGCTGTTCGGAGATTCGCCTTATGTGTTCCCGATGTTTTACATAAAACGCTCTGGCGTCTGGCTGCGTGTTACTCCGGTGTGTTATCTCGATAATTACCGCCAGTACTACATATAATCTGATATGGAGCTGCTTATGAATATGGGGTCCATAATGAGGACGCCGGACGGCTCTGCCGCAGAAACACCGGAAACTTTATCATTGGCTTATCGGCCAAATGCTGTTCATCCTATTATGGCGCTTGCCACCGCTCTAAACCTATATCACCGTGTAATATCAACCAAGTGCGAGTTTCATTTCGAGTCCCTGCGGCTTATGCGTTTGCACATCATTGAGAAAGGGGTAACCCTACTGCGGCATCGTTTCGCGCATTCATGTCAAGTGTGATCAATATTGCCATTGGATTTCAGCTACTGGTGTCCTATATTCGTATACACCATGGCGCGAACCACACACACACTTCCTGAATTCTTTGTTACACCGTTCCTCATGTCCTAGGTGAATTTCGATAGGAATACGCCATTGGGTGAAGGTCATATTGAAATATGAGTGAATCTTAACCTGCGTCATTCATGCACTACTGCTGAGAGCAGAGCTCAAGAAACAGGAGGTATCCACAGAGATGTGACGAAACCAACATGCCTTCTCACCTACCATCTTCGTCCGCAGGCGGTGTTTCTTGTGAGTGCAGAGAGCATGTCAGATACCACTCTGCTGGGTACATGCAATTGTGATGGTGTCGGTTAATAATTCTTTGAAGCACACCGTCAAGGTGTTCGATTCGATCATGGGTTCAGGGAATAACTTGCTCCATAACGCCAAAGATGAGAAAGTTTAACAACCCAAAATCAAGCATATACTTCAAGCTCAATAAAATGAGACACGGCAATCTTCCCTTGAAGAACAAAGGAAGAGATATCATTTCTTCATATTTCGTTTTGACATACTCTTCTCACTCCGGATCCTGCTCTGTTTACGAGGTGCGATAGCGGCCTTCTTGGCAGCGCCCGTCTTCCTCGTTCGTCCAACGTCCTTCTCCTTGCCACGTACAGGCACACCCTCCTTCGCAAGCGCCATTCTCGCTTTCTTCTTCGCCATCCTCCGCGCAAGCCGGTCAGCGTCCGCTGCTTTGATCTGTTTTCGTTCCTCTTTGGAGAGGGTCGCAATTTTTTCACCCAGAGAGGGATCGCCCTTTGGCACGTCGATGGGTGGAGCTACACCTGCACTGTGACTAGTGGTTGCAGTCTTTGAAGCGGCAGCTTTGTCAGTGGGCGGAGCCCTTGGGGAGTATTTTGCAGCGTTGAACGCGTAGTTTGCGCTTTGCAAATTTGAGTTTCGACTCTTCCATTGCAAGAGTTTCGTCCACGCAAACGCGATCCTGAAAATGAATGTTCAGAATATCACCCACAAGTAATAATCAAATACTGACCGTAAATTGCACATATGCGAAGCCCTTCCCAAGTTGAGTCTCCTTATCCCGCACAATTCTGACGCGTGAAACCCAATGCTTGGGTGCATCTGAAGCCTGACTAGGTGGCCCGCGTTCGGCAGTGATAAGACTTTCGAAGAATATCCGCAGATCTTCCTCTTTGCTCGCAAAGTCAAGGTTGCCCACGAAAACCGATGATTTTGGATCTCCCGCAAAAGTACCTAAGAGAGCACTTTGCTTTCCAACGCTATCTGCAGGCCTGCCCAAAGAATCTACACGGATCGTACGGTCCATGAAAACAGTCCCGTTGCACGTCTCGACAGCAAGACGAGCTGCCTCGTGCGGGTCCATGACTGGTAGAAGGGGTGGCAAATTCGAAGGCCGCTCTTTCGGAGGAGGGGGATATGCGAAGACGACGTATGCATTAACTGAATCGGCGCCAGGGTGAAGTTCATGATTGATAAATGCAACTTTTTTTTTCTGACTTGGAGTAAGAAACTTCTTCTCGTCGTTTTTTTGGTTCGTCCGCTGTGGGATTAGCTTTGCGCCACGATGATGCACGGTCTAAGCCGTGCTGCCGTGGGTCGGTCTTTTCTTTCCCATCATCATCCGGAAGTTTACTGGTAGGGTTTTGAAATGCGACGGAGCGGAATCTTGTGGATTCGATTTTTGCGGTAGGCACGAGCGATAGAATGTGTCTATGGAGTTTTTTCTGCAAAGGCTGTCACATGTTCAGTATGCGTTGATGCCATCATCAGCAAGTATTCAATAACTCACTCGTTTCTGAGCGACCTCGGACGGGAGGTTACCCACGAAGATCGTGCGCAAGTTGCGTTGTTCCTCGGACTCATCTGGCGGAGCGAATTTCACCTTGCGCGCGGATGCACGTTGGTTGGACTTTGCACCACCACTGAGCAGCGACTCGTGTACGAGCGTAGATGGTCCACTCTCCTCCTCGGAGTCGGAATTGTCGATAGGTTCAGCCCCTCGGTGTTCAGCGCTGCTGCCCTCCACGGCTGAGATCGCCTTTAATTTTTCTTGAGATTCTAATTTCCGCTTGTCGACTTTTTCTTTCTTGTTCTCCCGCAGCTTGACGCGTTTTGGAGGGGAATCGTGTTTTTGCGACTCTTTGAGTGCGGACTTGTGCTTTTTCAAACTATGTCTCTGCTCTCCCTCCGGTTTACGCTTCTTGTCATTGGACGCTGCAGTGCTGCCATCATCTTGGACCTTATGAGCCAATATAATTCAACGTGGACCACCGTAAAACGAAAAAGGGTGACGTACCTGAGTATGAAAAAGGGCATCTAATTCCGTGTCGATAGCTTTTTGGTTGCTCGTAGCTTTCCCTCCGAGTAAAAATGATGAGAGACTCATGATTGAGTACTCAGTACTGAGTGAAGGAATGTACTCGAATGACGCTGAGATCAAGTTGTAGATGGGGAGTGTCGGAGGTCCTGGTGCCAGATGGAGTGGCGCCCAATTCAGCGATTCGCCCTTCTAAAAGTCAAACTACTCATCCGAGCCTGCCGTGAGCTGCCGTGGCGGTGTTCTAAGTACAAGAGTACGACGTATTATGTAACCTGGACCAAGTACTAGTAAGCCTTCGAGGTACTCTCCCTGTTTCCCGTCTTTCCTTAGTTGTTTTGACAGTCTTGTAACAGTTTTTTTTGCATGCAAAATTCATGTTCGGGGCCCGGGCTACCCAACCATACCATCCAACTTCCAGTGCAGAGTGATGCGCCACCGCTTGTGTTTGCAGCCTCAGGCATTGATATACCATTCTGCCAGGATGTTGAACTTTGGGAAGTAAGAATTGAATCTGAAGTTTGGGTACGTTGTGCAGCTCTGACAATACCTAGGTCAATTTTTTATACATCTTTGTGTGTATCAAATACTGTCACGAGTTCCAAATACAAATCATTATTCTTTTCTAAATACTCGTAAGACACCCGTTAAGCGCCCATCACAAGCGCCTGTTGTTAGCGCTCAGCCAGCGTCTGTACCTATAACCTTTCCAAACCCTAACCCGAACTTCTCTATTCCATTAGCGCCTACTACTTCTATATCCGATATCTCTGATTTCGACTTCCTTACTCAAGCAATCAGATCACGTGACTCCAGAACCTTCGAGAACCCTTGTACAGCCATCACACGTTCCATGACATCATAGTGTAGTTATATTTAGAACATCGTACGATTCCCTTTCTTATTTAATGATTGGCTAGTTAATTCAGATTCAGATTCAGTCTCCGCTTCAATATATGTATATAAGTAGCTCATTGTAGTCAGTAGTTCTCCAGTTCAAACCTCTTTTGTATTAGCTTACTGCTAGCAATCCTAAGACGTACCTGCTATCCTCTATCTTCTCGTCGTGATACCTTTGTTTGAGTCCTAGTCTCTGCCCCTGCGTTAATTCGTTATAAGGGTTGTGACATTAGGTTTGAACTATAGGGGACTCCGACTCCACGCATTACCGCTTGCATACCTTTTCTCTTTGATCTGAGCATCTTGCGATTACCCGCGATCCTCAATCAAACAGAACCGTTACACGTTTTATATTGCCCGGCTTAACAGCTGTGACCTTGATTCTATCACTCTCCCCTTTGCTCATTTGAGCGCATTCATACCTATCCGCTTTCGTAGTTAGTAGTCCTATACCAGGCCCTGCCTTACACTGCAGCCGCCAGTATACGGAGGTGTTCACGACATTAGGCGTGTCACTACAACTTTGAGTGCTGGCCCAAGACCCTGCCTGCTCAACGTTACTATAATTTCCTTTTTACCTATCACCTTTCTTCGTACGATACGTAGGCTACTCTACCCGAGTATTTAGAGGAATTTCCTAGTCCAGACTCGGTCGCTTGTAAGCTTCGGCTGGAAGAGCACCTTGGCGTTCTAGTTTTCCCACTTGGCGAGTATAGTTGTTACGTACACATCTCTTTTAGTCAGTATCTAGGGAAGAGTCAGTTGGGTTTTACCAGGACCCTTTGACCCTGAAGTACGAGGTAGATCCGATCAGATATCGGGGACCGCTTCAGTTTTCCAGATTACGTATCTCTTTTTCATCTTCCCTTTCATCACCTTTCCCTTCCGGAAGAGCCGTTACGACTAGCTCTTCACAGACATCAGTAAATCGGGTTCCAGAAAACAACTGGTACTATGTCTGAACCAACCGCACCAAGAATGCCGAGTAGCAGCGAAGAGTTTGTACAATATGTACAAGAACAGATCGCCGCAAACAATGCACTGTGGCAAAACCAAGTCACGGCCTTGCAAAACAAGAATGACGAGCTACAAGCCGAGATCGACAAACTCACCGCTTCTCCATCCCTCGGAACATCCGCCGCCTCTACCACAGCCTCAATCAAGATGGCTAAACCCACGGAATTCACAGGTGATAAGGATTCCATCGACGCCAAGATGTGGGCAACACAGATAGCGCTCTATATGACGCAATGGCCTAGCATCACAGAAAGGCAAAGAATTTCAATCATGCTTTCGTTCATGAAGGGATCTGCTGCTAAATGGGCGCAGTCCTACATTGAAGAACATGCGACTGGAACTCTCACCATGAAGAAGTTAGATGAAGACTTCACCGACATGTGGGCACAAGAAGACCTTGAAGGCAAGGCAGTTCGGGAATTGGATTCCTTAAGACAAGGATCCTCTACCGTTCCAGAGTATACAGCTACTTTCAAACAAAAAGCTGCACACACAAGATTCTCCGACTACAATCTACGCCAGAAGTATAGGGCAGGATTGCAAGATCGCGTCAAATTACAACTCGCTCACGTCGCCTACAAGGACAAGGACAACATGCAGAAATTGATAGAGCATGCGATCCAAATAGGACGAAACTTCGAGGAGTTAGATGCGGAGAAAAAGAAGACTTCTTTCTGGACCCCTAATAGGGCTGCAAGAAACTTCGAACCAAGGGCTGGTCCCAGAGACAGTAACGCCATGGACATCGACGCCAACAAGCAGAGAGGAGCTCCTAAACCTCAAGGAAAGACTGGTTCTTTCAACTGCTATCGTTGTGGTGAAGAAGGCCATATGGCAAGAAACTGCAAAGGCGCTCCAAAAGCGCAAGTGAAGGCTACTGAAGTGCCAAAGGAAGACTCGATGCCCCAATGGTTTAAAGACTTATATCAAGGCCAAAGGAGATAAGGGTTTTTAGAGAGGTCTGAGTTAGAGTCTGCGGACTTGGACCCGAACAATCGTTTCTCAATCTTATCTACGTTCTCGGATGTAACAGAAGTATATTTGCGATCGAAATCAGAGCATTTTTACATTCCGATTACCCTGAAAGGAAAGAATCGACAAGCAGACGTGAAAGCACTTGTGGACTGTGGTGCATCGACATTATTTATCAATGAGAAGTTCGTGAAGAAGAACAATGTAATATGCCGTAAATTATTAAGGCCTATTCCGGTAAAGAACATAGATGGTTCTTTAAATGCCGCTGGATCAATGTACTCATTTCGCCGAACTAAGTCTAAAGATCGGTGATCATGTAGAAGACAAAGCAGCCTTCATGATTACAGACTTAGGAAACGATGATGTTATTATCGGCATTGACTGGTTAAGATATCATAATCCAGAAATAGACTGGAATGCAGGACAATTTTCGCTATCTAGATGCCCGCTTAAATGTATTACGAAAAAAGGAACAAAGACAAAAAAATAGAGAAAACAGAAAAGCACAAAAACAGACAGATGTGATTCCAGATCTGATTCCCACTGAAGAGGATGACGATGAAGACATGGAAATGAAGAAGGCGACCTGTGAAGAGGTAGAAGACGAGGATAGTCCTGAAAGATGGATTAGATATAAAGCCTCGGTTGCCACGGAGCAGAAGGTAGCAGAAGAAGCTACGAAGAAGAAGAAGTCTGTAGAAGAGATGGTTCCAGACTGGCTTCACGATTACCTGGGAGTGTTCTCAGAAGAAGAGTCCTAAGCGATTCCCTGAAAGAAAGAAATGGGATCATGCTGTGGATCTTAAAGACGACAATGATCTTCCACCGAATGCGAAACCGTATCCCTTTGTCACCGAAGAGATGGACACTTTGAAAGATTGGTTAAAAGCCTGAGACTGCACTAGGACGTATTAGAGATTCACAATCTCCAGTTGCAGCACCTTTCTTCTTTGTGGCCAAAAAGGATGGCAAATTGAGGCCCTGTAATGGACTATAGAAGGCTTAATGAGAAGACGGTTTAAAAATGCGTACCCGCTACCGAGATCTCAAGACCTGATTGATGCCCTTACCTGGTGCTACGATGTACTCCAAGATGGATGTACGATGGGGATACAATAATATTCGGATGAAAGAAGGAGATGAATGGAAGGCAGCTTTCAAAACGCCTTTTGGTCACCATGAACCAACCGTAATGTATTTTGGGTTGACGAACTCTCCAGCAACCTTTCCAGACCATGATGAATGAGATATTCAGAGATTTAATAGACGGCAAAACAGTGGTCGTTTATATCGATGACATCTTGGTCTTTACAAATGGAAATAGAGAGCAACACCAGAAAGTCGTGCGAGAAGTACTCAAACGATTAAAAGAAAACGATCCTGTTCTTGAAGCCTGAGAAATGTAGCTTCGAACAGTCTAAAGTCGAGTTCCTTGGGTTGATTGTGGAAAAGGGCAGTGTGTCTATGGACCCCGTCAAGGTAGAAGGAGTATTGAAATGGCCTGTTCCCAAATGCGTGAAAGAAATACAAGCATTCATGGGTTTTGCCAACTTCTATCGAAGATTTATACTTGGGTTCTCAGACATTGCCAGACCAATGAATGATTTGCTGAGAAAAGATGCCAAATGGGATTGGACAGAGAGACAGCAAAACGCCTTCGATGAGTTAAAGAAGCGTTTTACAGAAGCTCCCGTCCTCGTAATGCCAGATGTTGAGAAGAAAATGAAAATAGAAACTGATGCTTCCGACTATGCAACAGGAGCAGTTCTATCTCAACTGATGGAAGATGACCTATGGCACCCAGTAGGCTTATTACTCGAAATCAATGAATGATGCAGAGAGAAATTACGACATTCACGATAAAGAGTTATTAGCGATCATTCGTGCGTTGGAAGAGTGGAGGCACTATGTGCAGGGAAAACCCCAACATGTGGAGATCTGGACAGATCATAAGAATCTCGAGTATTTTATGACGAGTCAAAAGTTGACAAGAAGGCAAGCCAGATGGAGTTTGTTCCTGGCGGAGTATGAATTTACACTCCAACATAAGCCTGGTGTAGTCAATGACAAAGCCGACCGTCTATCTCGGAGAGAAGACCACAGAGGGGGGGTAGAAAAACGATAATTCTGACCGCATTTTGTTGAAAACCGGAATTTTTCAAAATCAATGCTGCTAAAAGAGGCCAAATTCTCATAGAAGGAGAAAGTTCGCTCATGAAGAAGATAAGAAAGAGCACAGAACGAGAGCCCGAAGTAATGAAAGCGCTAGAAACGCTAAAAGCAGCACCGGTACAATTGCGCAGAGGA